AGAAGGTTAAAGTTTAGGGGGGTTTGTGATACATCCCAAAGTTCAGGAGGGTTATGTGACATAAACAAAGTTTAAGGGGCTTTATGTGCAACACCCCCAAAAGTTCGGGGGGTTAAGTGAAATTAGCCCTTTCTAATTTTACCATATTTCATTGTATAAAGGTCATTTTTTTAAAAAGTTCATTGGAATGGTTGCCACTGACCTTGCATCGTTCTTACACAATATCCATAATAGCACATATATCCAATTACTTTTTCATTTTTGGCAAAAGAAATGAAATCAAATCATGGAATCAGATGAATGCCAATATTATTCAAACACAATTCTCATAAAATTGAATAGAATAATATCATCCAACAGAGTAAGAGCCTGGTACTTAATCATGGTACATTAAGGAACAAGTAACAAAAAGATAAATTAAAATGTACAGATTTTATTCCCCCAACTATACATGATTAAATTCAACTGCATATTCAAGCGTAAAGCAACACTTACAAAAGGAGAAGCTAATGGAAAATCTAGGCGAGAGAAAGAGGAGGGGATGACATTTCCCATTTGCTATGATTTGCTATATTCCCTTCATAACATTTTAATCCGTCTTTTACACTAAGGGTCCGTTCGGTTGGCAAAAAAAAGCATGGAAATTAAAGATAAGGAAACCTATTTCCTATAATAGGTTGATTTCTTGTGTTTGATTCACTTTAGGGCTTGTTTGGTTATTTCCTAAAAAACCAAGAAATAGAAATGAAAACAAAGAAAACTCAAAAAGTACAATTTCATCAATTTCCATCCATAAAACTCACCCACAATATCTAATAAAATATTATTTTTATCCAACAACTCATCCACCACATCTAATAAAATATTATTTTCATCCAACAACTCATCCACCACATCTAATAAAATATTATTTTCATCCACAACATCACTCAACTCATCTCATCTCATCATTTCAAATCACTCACAGCATCCAATAAGATGGTAATAACTCATCTCATCTCATTAACATTTTATTTCCACCCATTTCCTCCCAAAAAACTAGAAAAACAATTTTCTTAAGTGTGGGTAACATCATCCAATAATATAATGACAACTCATCTCATCACATCTATTTTCTTATTTTGAAGTATGAACCAAACAAAAGAAAACAACCTATTACAATAAATAGGTTTCTTATAATTCATTTCCTTATTTTTTTCGCCAACCAAATAACATCAAAACAAGTTTTCTTAAAAAATCACTCACATCATCCTATAATAAGGTGACAACTCATCTCATCTCATCTCCATTTCTTTGATTTCCTTCTTTTTTTAGCAAACCAAACACTCCCAAAACAATTCTTCTTAGAAATAGTTTTCCATTTCTTTGATTTCCGACTTTTTTTAGACAAACAAACAGACCCTTGACACCAGCCATCAAATCCACAACACCACGAGCTTTTAGACCTATTAAGATTTTAAAATCACATGGATTCAGATTACAGTTTACAAATCTTGAGTAAGTTAGGGCTTGTTTGGATTTGGAGGGGGTGAAGGGAAGTTAGGGGAACCTAGGGGAAGTTAAGTTAAGGGAAGGGAATTTCTAAAACTTGTTTGGGAAACAAGTAAGGTGAATCAAGGGGAAGTTATTTCACCCTGTTTGGAAAGTGTAATAACGGGAAGGAAAGGGAAGGGAATGTATATAAATTGACATAAATACCCACATATTATTAAGTTATATTGTTGTTAGAAATTAAATATCAAATATGCATCTATTGCTATATATTATTATTGTCATCATCTCCTTCCACATTGTATATCCACAATCAACACAAATCAGATAAATATGAAAAAATTTGGAGTATAGTTGGAATAAAAAATAATAACCAATATATTCATCGATGAGACTACAAAATAATACAAAGCTTATTTTCACTCTTCTTTTGCAAATATACCCAGTTAGCAGAGCAACGACCAACTAAATGATGAAATTCAAATACCTACACGAACACAAAACAACTATAACACTTGTCATTCAAGCTGCAAAAATCCCTAATTTTGAACGGTCTTTTACAAATTTTATTGCTCTATCAAATAAGCTCAGTTTGGATGATACAAGGTAAATTCATCAACAAAAATTAAAAAATAAATTGTGTTTATTAATACTATCCAGCATCAACCTCATTAACCAACATCCCCGTGAAAAATGTTCCAATGAAACATTACGGAGAAATAAAATAAAATCTTTTTTCCACAAAGTAGCTATTTATGCTCATATTCTCTCCACAGTTGACATAAGACCCCCTTCAAAGAAGGGAGGAAGAACAAAAGCTTCAACTGCTTTCACTCATTTCTTCAATTTCGTTAAGTTATCCAAGGCCAAGTCCTACAGGTTCAGTAACAGGAGAGAAAATCTTACCTTAAAAAATCAAAACCCTTGCTCAAACTAAGCGAGAGATTGAGGCGAGACAAGACGCGGAGGCGAGAAGACGCGGAGGCGAGATGAGACGCGGAGGAAGAAGAAATAGCGGAGGCGCTTGCAACAAGAGTTATACTGTGGGGTTTCTGTGAGCAAATTTTAGCCGTTGGATTTTGATCTTAGCTAGGGGTAAATATGTCTCTCTATATTTGTTGTATCCCTCCTCTTTACCTTCACCCCCATTACACCCTAAATTGGGAGGGAAGAAATCATGGTATTTTCTCACCTCCTTTCACCTCCCCTCACCCCTATTAACTTGCTACGTTTACTTCACAAATAAGGTTAAAAGTTACCCTTCCTTCCCCTCACCCCATTACCCTCAATCCAAACAGGGTCTTAGTTTATTTTAACCATTGCCAACAAAATCTCATCTTCAGATTACGAGCCTGTTTGAATTTGTAGGGGGTGAAGGGAAGTTAAGGGAAACTAGGTGAGAGAATGGAAGGAAATGGAAGGGAGTTCCCTTCCCCTTGGTTACACCCCAATTTGGGGGTAACAAATTTTATACTATTAGGGGGTGAACCAAGGAGAACTAGGGTGAATAATTTCACCTCCTAAATGTTCCCAAACAAGGTGAATGGAGGTGAATGGTTCCCCTAACTTCCCTTCACCCTCATTCCCCTCAATCCAAACAAGCCCTACAGCTTACAAATCCCTCATATAGTTTAAGCTAGATCCTTGTAATGTAAGAGTCAATATACAACCAAAAACATTGCCAAAATATACAAAGGAGCCTCCTTTTTCTATTTCGCAAAGCTAATAAACGAAGCCATATTACTATAATAATTCTAAAATCATATCCAAGATCCCTAATGTATGAATTTGAATCATAAGTATAATCGTCAAAAATGACGATCCATTCAAATAAAACACCAAAAAAAATCCCATTTTTCTAAGAAAAATTAAACTCAAGGATTGATGGGTGTCTCAAAAGATTAGATTTCTTCCCTCTTCTGACGTTAAATTACTAATGGACGGAGATCAATCAATTCGTAGATAAAAGGAAATTATTAGCAGATATATTATGTGAAAATTATAACGAAATTAATAGCCAAAATAAGAGAGGAAACAAAAATACCTCGGCCATTTGAAATTTTCAAAAGGGGAAGAATCGAAGATCCTAAAATGAGAACGCGGATTCGGGATTCCAGATGGAAACTGATTGCCGCTTTTACATGGAAAAGGGAAATTGATTATCTTGGGCCAACGGGCTACATTTGGGCTGGGCGAACACAACTTCTTGTTACTAATATTAATGTTCACACGCTTTCATGTTAATTAAATAAACTAGGAGGATTTTTTTTAATTCACTAAATTCATCACAACTAATAAAGCAGTAGCGTAGAAGTTAAATTTAGAATAATTACCAAATATATCTACTCGTCTAAATATTATTTAAATCTGATTGAAAAGGTCGTTTAATAGACATCAAATAATTTTTATCATTTATATATGAAAAAAAATTTAATATGAACATTCACATATAATATTGAATTTGGATCCTCTCCGTTATAAAAAAATTAGTGAAGAGACCACCACTTTTAATCTTAATTATTAATTATTTAATGGGTGATTGTGGTACGTTCTAAATCTAACACTTACAGTACTGTCATGTATTACAAGCATTCATAAATTGTACTAAAAAAATCATAACCACCCACTAGACAATCAATAGTTGTGATTAAGTGGGATCCAAACACTTCTGCTTATTGAATATTCATATAAAATTTCAACACAATATTTAGCCTTAATGATAGCTAGTTCACTGTAGATTACTTTTGATTGCTGACTGCAAAGTAAGAATAACGGATAATTCAAGATCCCTAGTTTAATATCACCATTATACTTAGGAAATGCGTAGCTACGCTTTATACCATAGAACTTCCATGTCCTTACTTTAAAAGGCCCAAATTCAATACTAATTTTTTAGAATGTTACTACATGCATCACAAAATAGCATATATGATCTTCCCATCATTAAACAAAGGGATATCACCCCATAACAATATCGTCCTAGTCCAAACATTCAATCTCACACATTTACCAACTTAATTTTAGAAAAGTACATATATAACAAACATCAAGTAACGTATCACGTACAGTACCAGCTAGTTACATATTCTTTGTCGTCAAATTATCTCACTAGTTTCAAACTCTGATGCTTAATTTAATGCACCTAAGTCCCCCACGCCCAAGTTGGATGCGGCTGAGCCCAATCCCTCATTCGAAGATCTAGATGCAGAACCATCAGACTCAGCATCAAGCGTCGAACTAGAGCTAGATCCAAAACCAGAACCAATATCTGAAGAAATATCGGATCCACCACTAGAGCCCGCGGAGCCCCCAGCTGCATCTGAGCCAAGATTCATCCTCACTGGCCGACCGTGTCCTGCGACCATGGACAGCGAGATTAGGGCAACAATGATCATTACTTTACTTGATGCCATTGATTTCAGAATTTTAGGAAACGTGGTATATGAGGTTTAGTACTTGTTGTACGTATATGAAAGAGTTAGGTGTGTATTTATAGGCAATTTAGTGTTATTGTTTTGTAGACGTTGTTGGAGGAGTTGAAGTTTGAATTTATTAGAAGCGGATGCGCGTATGGTGCACGATTTGCTGAATTGGTTTATTTAACAAAGTAAACGATGCTACTAATTAGAGCCTAATCCACTAGGCTTGATTGTTATTTAATCATCATGATAGTTAAATTATTTCTATGAGAATATGATGACAAACGTGCTTTCCTCGCATGTTGCGAAATTTCTTCGAAAGCTTCTTTACTGGGTTCGGATTTTCTACCCTATCAAAAAGTAACTGAGAGATCACTACTATATCATAATTGTTGATTTGTTTAATGAATGGTTCTGATTTGTCTTCGAGTGAAAATTAGATAAATCTGCAATTCATTGGGATATAGTAAAGGCAAGATTTAAAACGAATTATAATCACCCATCACACAAATCCATGATTAAAATATAGTAAACATTTTTCACTCATATATTATAATATTTGTTAGGAATTTTAAGAAGATTAATCTGGGTAATTAAACATTAAACAAATAATGGCACCAATAAAAATACTACAAGCAAGCAAACACCAAGATTTAACGTGGTTCGGCAAATCGTGTCTACATTCACGGGGCAATCCAGAGAGTAATATTTCACTATCAATCGAGAGTACAATCCCTCAAAGTTACACCCGAACTTGAGGATCAAACCACAAGAGACAAATACAGTGTTACCTCTAGAGCACCAAAACTCTAAGATCCGTCTCACCACAAATCTCTAATGCCCATAGAGAAATCAACACCGTACCCTCGACGGCGTCATTATTCTGAAGACAACGGCTTTTAAATCACTGCAATCGAACAACCGAGATATCCGGAATCTCAATTTTTTTTTCTCTCTCTCCTTTTGAAATCCGCGAGGTTCCTCTACAGTAATTCTCGGATTACTGTTTATGCGGGAAAAAATTCCAGGGTGATGGATATCATGTGCCCAATTCCTAATAATTAGTTAAGTAACTACAATAATTTTGAAATATTTAGCAAATAATAAACAGTAAAACCATTCAAAACTTTATTCATATATATTTGATGTACAGTATGTGAACACGTGATTGTGGGACCCCCCAAGGCAAAGCATTTACGTGTGAAGTGAACTCGTGAACGAAGACTTGAAGGCCCACGAAGCCCACCCGATATTTCCAAGTCACCGTGCTTATAAATGCAGCCGAAAAGATCACCTAGGGTTGCGTGCATAGAGGGTAGGCGGCTGCAGCAAAAGGGTTCGGTGCAGGAGATTTTGTTTTCTTTGGTGACTGCGGAACAGAGGCGCAGAGCAAGGCTTAGTTTTGTGCGGCTGCAGTTGAGGAGATTTTGTGTAGTCTCTTTTAGGTTTTTTGTGCATCCCTTTGAGAGATATTTGTGAGGGATTTGTGAGTTTGTTTAAGGGTTTAGATTGAGAGTGATTATAAACCCTAGTTGTATTCTCTCCCTCTATTAGTATATCTCCCCCCTCCTTGCCCCGTGGACGTAGGCAATTTGCCGAACCACGTAAAATTGGTTGTACTGTTTTGTGTGATTTGTAATAGCTTTTAGGATCCCTCGACAGGTCAGTCCTAGAACTGATAAGAGGAAGAGCCGATATCTCACTTGGTTGAGATATCCGCTTCAGATTCTTGTCTCCTTGGTGAGACGGGAATTCTTATTGCGATCTGACTTTCTTGTTGTGCTGCCGAAGTGCTGCCGAAATTTCCGCTGCGCGCAACAAGTGGTATCAGAGCCCAGATTTCAGATCTAGGGTTTTTCGGTGGAGGAAGATTCTTGTGTGAAGCTTCGTTCTTGGAGTTCTAGGCTTCGGTGGAGATAGCATTAGGAGTGGCCGTTGGAGATTTCGCTTTCCTCGTGTGGATAGGAGATCTATTTGGAATCCGATCTAGGGTTCAGTTGGGTGGTTCCTAATTCTATCAAATTTGTTCTTTCTCTACAATTTGGAGTTAGTTCGCAATGGGAGAAGAAGGTGAAAGCAGCAAATCGATGGCGAGTACAATACAAGTTGGTTTTCAGAACACGATTGGGGTGACGTCTGCGATGAAGATGTGAGAAATTCTCAACAATAAGTACCTTACGAAGAGTGTTGAGAACCGGTTGCACTTGCTGCGTAGGTTATTCAGATTCCAGATGTCCAGAGGCACCTCGCTTGCGGCTCATGTGAACAACTACACTAAGTTGTTGTCGGACATGGCGAATGTTGATGAGAAGATATCGGATGAGTACAAGACGAATATTTTGTTGGGCTCCTTACCGGATGAGGAGTATGATACCTTCGTGCTCACTTTGTTGAACGGGAGATCTTCTATCAGCTATAGTGAAGTGACTAACGCTTTGACGAACTACGATTTGAGGAGGAAGGATAAGGAGACTTCCCGCGCTAGTACTTCAGGAGAGGCCTTGTCGACAAGAGGTAGAAGCCCATATCCGAAAGGTGGTAACAGAGGGAGGTCAAAGTCTAGAGGCCGCCACCAATTAACAAAGAACCAATGTGCATTCTGCAAGGAGCAGGGACATTGGAAGAGAGACTGCCCGAAGCTCAAGGAGAAGGAGAATGGTAAGAAAAAGGGCCCGAAGGCCAATGAGGTGAATATTGCGAAAGGCGATGATTCCGATGATTCGTGCTTTTCTCTACTGATTACTCCGGAGCTGAACCATGTGGATGCATCAGATTGGATGCTTGATTCCGGCGCTACTTTTCATGTGACCCCTAGGCGAGACTGGTTTGCATCTTTTGAGAAAGTCGACGGGGGCGTTGTTGTCATGGGAAATGATCAATCCTGTAGCGTTTGTGGGATAGGTACCGTCAATCCTGTGGCGTTTGTGGGATAGGTACCGTGCGGATTAGGATGCACGATGGAGTAGTCCGTGAGTTGAAGGAGGTGAGATTTGTTCCTCAACTGAAGAAAAATCTTATCTCAGTTGGAGCTTTGGAGGCGAAGGGATTCAAGGTGACTTTCGAAAACGCTGTAGCGAAGGTTACTAAGGGATCATTGGTGGTGATGAGGGGAGTCCGCAATCGGAATTTGTATTATCTGAAGGGAAGCACCGAGATTGGCCAGGTTGCTTCGGCTATTTCAGAAGCGGACATGAGCAGACTTTGGCACTATAGATTGGGGCACACAGGTGAAAAGTCACTGCAGGCATTGTGCAAGCAGGGGCTATTGAAGGGAGCCAAGAGTGGGAAGATTGAGTTCTGTGAGCACTGTGTTCTTGGCAAGAAGACGAAGGTGAAGTTCGGGACTGTCATTCATCAGACGAGGGGTATCCTGGACTATGTGCACACAGACGTTTGGGGTCCCACCAAGACTGCATCACTTGGTGGTCGACATTGGTTCGTCACTTTTGTAGATGACTATTCTAGGCGTTGTTGGGTGTACACCATGACGAAGAAGAGTGAAGTCCTAGATTTGTTTGTGGAGTGGAAGAAGAGATTGGAACTGCAGACTGGGAGAAAGATCAAGACGTTGCGATCCGACAACGGTGGTGAGTATACTTCTGACCCCTTTCAGCAGCTATGTCGAGACGAGGGCATAGAGAGACACTTCACAGTTAGTCATACACCGCAGCAAAATGGGGTGGCAGAGAGGTTGAATCGGTCTTTACTGGAGAAGATCCGATGCTTATTGTCGCAGAGTGGTTTGGAGAAGATCTTTTGGGCTGAGGCACTTACA